TCCTGGGTCACTAATCATGGCTTCAAGTTCTCTACAACTAAACCTTGAGGTATGAATTTACCCAGAAGCAGGATGTTCTTCGTCTCCTTTGTCGCTTTATGACAATCCCCCTTTTTTACAAAGATTCTACTAAGCTTTTGGGGTTAATTTTTGACACTCGTTTGTCTTGGTCGCTCCATATCTCTTACCTCAAAGTTGAAAGCTCTAAGGCCCTTAACTTACTTAAGGTCATGTCCCATACTTCTTTGAGAGCTGATAGGCGCACGCTCCTCTCTTTACATTCCTCTCTCGTGTTTTCTAAACATGTTTATGGTTGTTATGCTTACTCGTCTGCATGTTCCTCCTACTCTTCGCCATGTTGATGCCCTGCACCATATTGGGTTACACCTCAGCTCTGGTGCCTTTTGTTCAACCTACCTTAAGTCTGTATGTTCAAACCGGCTTCCTGTCTCTACAGGATAGCCGTGTTACCAAAATTTTCCTCGTGTCGATCCATCCTTGCCCCCATGGAGGGTCCCTCTTCCTATGTTTTGTAACACCCTGACCCACGTGACTTAAGCTATTCTCCCCCCCTCCCCTACAATTCTGAAAAGTCTTTTCCTTGCACACGTTTCTTCACACTCCATCTCCATTTTCGTCTTCAAAGATGGGTCTAAGTCTGCAGAAGGTGTAGGCTACTGTGTTGTTTTTCCTGAACATCTATATGTGTTGTCTGCCTCCAGAGACTATCATCCTCACGTCAGAACTTTATGCTATTTTGCATGCTCTTTGTCAACTGCTTTCTCGCTGACAATCTTCCTTTGTTGCTATAGTTGACTCTCACAGTGCCCTCATGGCTCTGGCGTCCTTTAATCCAGTTCATCCTGTGGTAGTCGAAATTCAACATTGGCTGATTCTTATCTCCAGCGGATTTAAAACGGGAGTTTTACTGGGTTCTCAGCCATATTGGTTTGTCCTTAAATGAGCGTGTGGATGCTGCCGCTAAGGAGGTTATTCGCATTTGTCCAATCTCCCGTAAACGTGTTCTTTATTCTGACTTCTACCCAGTTATTCATTCCTCAATCCTTGTCCATTGATCGTTGGTCTTCTTTTACTAGTAACACACTGTATGCTTTAAAGGGTAGCGTGTCCCCAATGTCCTTCTTCCTACTACAGTAACCGGCAGTGGGAAATGGGTCTGGCAAGGTTACGTATTGGTCATACACGTTTAAATCACAGGCACTTAATGAAGTGCCGCCTTGCTCTTTATTGTCCATACTCCATTGTCCTTCTTACGGTCGTGCATATCCTTGTTGAATGTCTGAACCTCCAGGACGTACGTATGTCTTGCTTCCCGATCGACCCTCGTGGTCACTTGTCCCTTGATAAAATCCTTTGTGAATCAGATACCGTTGATATCATTAGCTCTATGCACTTTTGTTCTCGTACTGGCATCATCATTGATATTTATCACTTTTTGAATATCCCACACATTTGATGGCGCTATATAGCCTTCCCGGTGCCCTCTTTTGATAATCACTTGCTTACATTAGTTGCAAAACGTGTTTCAATATTTCATCCATTGCTTTGAAGGTCGATCCTTCCTGGTGCCTGGAGGAGCGGGCACCATGAGTTTAGTTGACCTCAGTGTGACAACTACACTGTCATCACACTGAGGTTAACCATTCGAGATGACATATGTGCTTCTGTCACAGCTCTTTGAGGTTATAGGAAAGTGTTAAATATCAAGGGGAAAAAAGTTCTCCTCTGAACACGCGCAGGTGTTGCTAATTAGCACCAAAACTCTACTGATGTCCTTTGACCGGAATATACCGTCTTCTGTTACGGTGGCTATCTTGAAGCTGAGTGGGTGTGGTTGCTCCCAAGCTGGTGCCGGTTTGTGTGCCCTCCAATGTGGGTGGGTTGTAATGGGGGTCGTTGAGCCTGGTGACGGTTGTCACGATAGTGATGATTTGCGAATGGTCTTGAAGACCATTCTCTCGCCCCTCTTTTGGGGGATTCACCTTCCTGAGGTCCCACTGAGGTTCAAGGTTCTGTTGAGTACTTCCCGGGTGGTGTTATGCTTCTGCCTGGGCAGCTGATGGATAGATAGTTGTGTGTTCCCTTTCCCTTTCCCGATGGCCCCCCATCTTTCTTGTGCCTGTTAATTACCTTCGTTCCTTGGGGAACTAAGTGGCGTTTTGATTCGATGCTTCGCCGCCACAGGGTCGACGTAGTGTTCATCCAAGAGCATAATGTCCGGGATGTGAGCATGCTGCATGGGTTGGCCCGTTAGGTACCAGGTGTAGTTGAATCCATCTAGGTTGTTGATAGAGGGGTATGTGGGTTCTTATTTTCAAAAGGCGCCGATTTCCAAAAGGGCGTTTGGTTATAAATAGGAGCTGTCTCGTATGGGCCAATAGGTCTTCTGCAGTTACCTTTATCCTTATGTTCTTCTTATGTTCTTATTTCTGTGTTACACTGGAGATGGACGATGAAGGACGGATTCTGTTTGTGTGGATCTCAGAACTGAGGTCGGAGATACCGTTGTTAAATGTTTATGTTCCCTCTAGGTCTGCAACGCGGCAGGAAACGGAGGCTTTCTTTGCTATTGAGGTATTACAATTTCTGAGGCATGATACTCGGTCTATTTAATTTTTTTTTTGGGGGGAAGGGGGATTTGAAATGTGCTACGTTGGCTCGGGACTGTAGTAGACTTTCGTCTGGCAATGTGTCCCCTGCTTTGTTTGAAACCCGTGCTTGGTGTTGTGGGATTCGGGATCTAGTGGTGGTGCATGAGGTTGCTTTGGAGCTTAGCTTTATCTCCAGCAGTTCATGTTCTTGGCTCAATAGGTTTTATGTTCATAGATTGGAGTGGGATGTGAACTCCTTTCTTACGGTTCCGGTTGCTTTTTCTGACCACAGTACGGAGGTTGCAGAGGTTGGTGCTCGGAGCCAGGTGAGGATGGGGGAGGGATTGGTGGAAACTCGATCGTAGTTTGCTGCAGTGTCTCGACGTTCGTAATCATGTTCGGGTTCGGTGGGCCTGGATGGTCGAACGTAAACGGTGGTTTCCTTGCTTCTTACACTGTTGAGACTTTTCTGTGGGTGAGTGTAGGCGGCCTTTTCTTAATATTGTGAAGAAGAAATTGGCTGAACGGTTTGGTTTGTAAATGTGTTGCAGGCTAGTTTAACTTTTTTGTATGCTTTGGTGAATAAGGGGTTTAATCGATTTACGGAGATTGCTGTGTAAAGAAAAGATTCGTAGGCTGATGGAGGAGGGGTGCAAGAAACGGACTGGGGATGGGGAGCAGTTGTTTGGTGAGCGTCTTTAGCAGTTCTTGCATTGGAAGGAAGAGGAGGATCGTCAGTCTGTGTTGTTAATCTGTCTTCTTGTCTGATGGTTCAGTTTTGTCGAATACGGATGAGGTGCTGTTCTGTGTTCAGCAGGTGCTTGAAGATCTTCATAGGAGGGTGGAAAGGAATCAGGGATTGGAGGAGTGTCTTCTTGGTCATTGTTCTGGGTTGTCGTCGTCGGACTGTCAGATTCTTGTGAAGGAGGTTGGTCGTACGGAGGTTTGGTATTTTTTTTTTATTTTTTTAGTTTTTTGAGATATATACTAGAGTTGTTACATTCTTGTACAGCCACTAGTACGCAAAGCGTTTCGGGCAAGTCCCTGGAATAGGCCCCCCCCCCCACGAAGAATCGTTTTTACAACCAAGAACCCATTTTACTGTTGAGTTAAACAGAGGCTACAGTTAAGGATTTGCACCCAGTAAATCCTCCACGACCAGGATACGAACCCATGACAAAGTGCTCGTGGAACGCCTGGTGAGCGTCTTCCCACTCACCTGGTGGTTGACGGTTCTCCGCGGTTGAACACGGACACTGTTCAACTGTGGTGTAGTAGAGTAGTGTAGTAAAACGATTGTTCGTTTCTTTTAATGAAGGAAATGTTGTCGTTGTCTGTTGGGTTGCCGGCGGAATTATGTTTCCTGCTGGGATATAATTGGGGCCGATTTTCTGGAGGTGGTTCAGTTTTGTTTTGAGCACATGCTGTTGGCCGAGTCTTAAGCGCATGTTATTGCGAGACTTTTACTCAAGCCTGGCGACTTGCAGTTGTTTTCCAATTTTTTGTCTTTATTATAAAACATTACAGTATCTATATAAATAAAAATGTAAATGTTCGTTTGTTCAACATCACTAATCTCCGAAAGTTCTTTACCAATTGGTTTAAAATTTTGACACAACGTTTCATTTGCATACGAGCGTGTTTTTATATACCTACTATATAGATGTCACGTCTGTAACAGATAAAAACATGCTTTTTGTGAAAAATTGTGTTTTTCATGAGTTTTCATGTGAGGGAAATCTCTGAAACCTCTTTACTTATTGCTTTGAAATTTTGACACAATGTTGCATTTGAATATGCATGTGTTTTTATATACCAACAATATACATGCCACACCTGTGACAGGTAAAAGCATCCCTTTTTGAAAAACAGATCCATCTGCTGGACGCAAGAGAAACACATGCTGTAATCGCCAAAAGTTCTTCACCTATTACTTTGAAATTTTGACACAACATTCCATTTGAATAAGTGCGTGTTTTTGTATACCACCTATAAAGATGCTACACAGGGATATATTGTAGTATAAACACTACGAGATATTCAACTTCTCGGTGTATATACACTTTGAACTTTAGTCCTGAACAATGATGAATACTAAAGTATACTTATTATTGTTATAGCCTTAGTGACCTTGCAGCAGCTGATTGTTCTTAGGTTAAACTCCAAACCCAACTAAACAGGATATTTACACCGAGTTTACCCCGCTTCTCGGTGAATATTTAGAGTTGACTTTTGTCCTGGACAATGTTCAGGGTAAACTTTGCTGGTTGGTCAGCAAGCTATTTTGGTGACCTAAAATAACCCTCCCACGGTACCTCTAACTGTACCCGATCAAATAAATGGTAGTTGGCAGTTTACTCCACCACTGCAACACTCAGCATCGTGCAGCTGGCACTTGATCAGGGGGTATATATAGCCGGGCTGAGGTCTGTCCAGTCAGTTGGTGTCTTGCTTCCGTTCCTGGTTATATAAACTAGTCATCTAACAGACGAACGTGAGGAAGTTATTGTTTTCTTAGTTTACTGTTTAAAATTTAGTTTATAGTTGGTCTATAATTTCTTTGGAATGAATTTTTGTATTACTATTATTACAAATTAGTGTTCTGGGTACATAACTTGTGTAAAGTTTTTACATAATGGAAGTAGTAATTATTCATTCCTTAGATGTTTAGGTGCTGCTTATAGGTAAAAATTCATGAATCGCTTTACGTGGTTTGTTATACTCGCTTTAAAGCATAGTCATTTAGGTCTCTAAATGAACTGCCCTGCTTAAGGGCTTGATACCGTTGACTTCCAAAATAATTGCTAATAAATTAAACTTGAGTGACTAAAACGGTCTAAAGTTAACACTAAATTAACTTCACTGTAATTCTTTATTTAGATGTCGCCTCGTTGTTTCATAATGGCAGCGTTATTGGCCATCAGTACACAGGATGACGTAACTGTCCCATCAGAGACAGGCTTCAGGCCTCGTCCAATGGTGACTATACCGCCACCCACGATTAATATAAACGCTACATTGCCTGTTTCAGCTATTGGGTAAGTATGTGCATATTTGACCTTTACAGATCTTCGTGGTTTCCCAAGAAAATTTACCCTGATTTCCTTAAATCATGGCATGGTTTGTAACTCAATGCTAGTGACTAGAGTATAAATTACCAAACTTTCTTAAACGGAACTGACTCAAACTTCGTTAAACTACCTCATTCATAGCATAAAATGAAATGTCCACTAAACTTTACATTTACTATTAATTTGCATTGATTATTGTAAAAAAAGAAAAGCGCACTACCTGTGTTAACCAATTAAAAAAGGGTTAGTTTTACCTTCCAACTGCAATTTGGTAAAGAATAAAAAGTTCTTCTCCTCCAAAGAATCTGGACTCCAATATGGACTTTTAAAAGTTCTAGTCTTAGTTACTATTCGGTAGAGAAGTGTTTAGGCAACATTTTCTGCTGATTAAAACTATATCATTGTCTTAAATGATCTTCAATGGTATCTATGGTCTGTAATAAAATTTTTTCGGTAAAATAATTTTTTTGTTAAATTAGTGCAAAGAATCTAATTGTAAATGACGTTATACTTGACCTTTTCCAGGCGTATCTCTTGGTTTGTTTTTCATTCTAGATTTTTTTTACATGGTTGGTTAAATTAATCTGTCTAAAATTAGCCATATATTACCATAATTTGCACTATCTATTAAATCGATAAGATTTATGTAGTTAAATCTTATTCTTTAGAGGTGACGTTGCCTTCTCGGTGAAGAAAGCGGCAAACTTGACTCTAAGCCTACCAGCTACAGTAAGATTTCAGGTACAGATTATATATAAAACGATGTGTAACTTGTATAATATATATTGATTATAATTTTTTCTTTACATCTCTTGCTAGCTTAAATAAAATTATAATGCTAGTCTTATTATAACTCTACAGGAGGTCGTGACTAATGCTGGTGAAGCCTGGCATCAAAACTCCAGCGAGTTCGTGGTACCAGTTGATGGCGGTTATTTCTTAACCTTTAACGCTGTTGGTGGCAACAGTAGCGACTTCACGTAAGTATACAATTTGAGGTAGTTGTATTGCTATTTATATAATGGCAACAAGATTAATAACTCTTCCTTTATTCAGGATGGCGCTGATGAAGAACAAAGTTCCCCAAGTGAATGCGTATGGAACGCTAAGCCATTTTGAACATGCGTCCAACTCTGCTTTCCTGGAGCTCCACCGTGGTGACGTGGTGTACCTGGAGCTGCAGGAGGGCATGATCTACGACCACCCCTTCAACGAGACCTACACCACATTCACTGGCTTCCTTGTTTATCATATTTAAGTATTATTTTTTTTTTTTAGTGAGATTAAAAGATGGCAATATACAGAATTAATTATTTAGCATTTTTAATACTTTGATCTACTCTTGGGTTCCTACTATGGGTTAGCTATAGTTTGACGATAATGGCTGGAGTTTGTCTAATTATCCGAATAAATGGCTTTGGTCTAAAAATTTGTTACGCTCCTTACCTCTGTGATTAATACTTCTCCAACTCGTGCAAACACTAAACTAAAAGAATTCACGTGCTTTCTCCACCCTGCATCTGACCCGTAAGTCGTAAAAAAAATTCATGACTGCTATATGATTACTAGGTTTTTTTTTTTTTTTGTCACGTTACTTGCATGTACTGAATACTATTTGCACCTCTGTCTTATTGCTGAGATAGTACTCCAAATATTGATAATGGGAATTCAAATAAACAATTGGTTAATTTTTTTTTTCCAATTAAATTTACTACTGCAAATGACTACAGGGCTATTCACTATTTGCCATGGCTACTATAATCTCTAATTTGTAACACAGGTTTCTACCTGTTGTGCCATTTCTAATCAGGGTTTAGTGTTTTTTAAATTGCCTTCTCTAACAAGAATAAATTATCAAACCTGGGGGGAACACATAATACAGATAGATAATGCGGAGAGATGCATAATAATTTACGTTGAAAATAATTGAGGGGCTGGTCCCAAACCTGCACACAAAAATAACATCACACGAGACCAGAAAACATGGCAGGATGTGCAGAATACCCCCGTTAAAAAGCAGAGGTGCATCAGGTACTCTGAGAGAACTCCATCAACCTCAGAGGCCCGAGACTGTTCAACACTCTTCCACTACACATAAGGGGCATAACTGGCCGACCCCTCAGTGTTCAAGAGAACTGGATAAGCACCTCCTAAGGATACCTGATCAACCCGGCTGTAACTCGTGCGGCTGCACGCAGCCTGACTTGTTTAAGAGCCTGGATGATCAGTCGAGTAACCAGGAGGCCTGGTCGACGACCGGGCCGCGGGGACGCTAAGCCCTGGAAGCACCTCGCGATAACACTCACTACTACACCTTTACCACCCCATGGGCGCCGGATTCTGTAGATTTTAAATAATGCATTCTATAATCCAATTAGTTTTCCTATACTTCGTAAAGTGATGCAAACTGTCAAATCCATGACTAGTGTTGTCATGGGTGGTTCGGGAAAACTGGCACCAGGGCTACAAATCAATGCCCCATAGTGATATCACACTTTTCTGATTTTTTTTTTACTCCTTTTGGCTTCTATACCCCCTCCCCGCTCAGCTCGTTGTTGCCGTGTGCGGGCTTAGTGGGCGGCTGCCAGAGTGATGCTCCTTGGGAGCTGCCGTCCTCTCAAATTCTGATGGGCTCCTTTTCCTTCTGTTTTGTTTTTCTCCCCCCTCTTCTATCTGCTTGCAGTTTCCTGCCGACCTTTTGCTTGTTCTGGTTCTTCCCTTGGACTACTTCTATTTTGACGCCCGGGTGCTTGAGGCATACTCTTGCACCCGTAGAACTGTAGTACCCGACGTCGAGAGCGAGGGGAACCGTTTATTGTCAATCCCCACTTCGTCACTGAACCCGATCTCGACGGACTGTGGGTTTCTTAAGGTGGCGTTTGTGGGGCGTATACTCGACGCACCCCTAGGAGGCCCCGACAAGATCGGCGATAGCTTCTTGTTGGGTGTCCTTCACCTCCATAATACTCTTGTGGCGGACCCGTTGCAGGTCGCTTCCGAACTGGGTTCCCACTTTTCTTCTGTTAGCTCTGGTCTTCATCTTCCCCAATCTTTCCTTCTTCGTAAACCTGTCCTTGAGTCTCGTCCTTTAGATTTCTGCACTCATCTTCAGCTTCCCTATAATGATCCCTTCTCTCTCTCTCTCTCTCTGAACTTCGTTCTGCCCTGGCCCTCTGCGGTTCTACGGCGGCGGGCTCCGATGGTATTCATTATGAGATGCTTCGTCATCTCCCTCCGAGCACGTCTCAGTATTTACCGAGTCTGTATAATCGGATCTGGGAGTCGTCGTCAGTCCCTGAGGACTGGCTCGATGCCGTTGTCCTCCCTGTTCGCAAACCAGGGTCTCTGGGTACTTTCCCTAAGGACTTTCGCCCTATTGCCCTTACAAGTTGTCTGCAAACTCTTTGAACGTATGGTTAACGTTCGTCTGATGTGGTTCCTGGAACACCATCACCTCCTCTCCCCTTCTCAATTTGGTTTCCGCAAGTGCCGCAGCACGACAGATGTCCTGGTGAACTTGGTCTATATTCGTACTGCTTTTGCTGCAAAGACCTCCATTGTTGCTGCCCTTTTTGACCTGGAAAAGGCTTAAGACACCACTTGGCGGTATCATATTGTCAACTTCATTCTTTTGGCCTTCGTGGTCATCTCCCTCTTTCTCTGCAGCTTCCTCTCTCGTCGTTCCTTTCGGGTGCGCCTTGGTACCGCTCTCTCTGCCTCTCTTCAGCAATACGAAGGTGTGCCCCAGGGTAGTGTTCTGAGCACTACTCTTTTTCTGGTTGCCCTCAATGGTCTTCTTTCCTCTCTTCCTTCTGGTGTCTTCTCCGCTCTCATGTCGATGATCTTACCCTTTGTTGTCAGGGTGATGATTCGCCTCTCCTTCAACGCCGGCTTCAACTTGCAATTGATGCCGTGTCGTCTTGGGCCACAGGTCATGGCTTCAAGTTCTCTACTTCTAAGACTTGTGCCATGACTTTTACGCGGAAACGGGTTGTTCTTCGTCCCTCTTTGTCACTTTATGGTCATCCTCTTGAATACAAAGATTCCGCGAAGCTTTTGGGGTTATTCCTTGACACTCGTTTGTCTTGGTCTCCCCATATCTCTTACCTCCGTGTTGAGTGCTCTAAGGCCCTTACCCTCCATCGGGTCTTGTCCCATACTTCTTGGGGGGCAGATAGGCGCACTCTCCTTGCTTTACATTCCTCTCTCGTCCTGTCTAAGCTCGATTATGGTTGCCCTGCTTACTCGTCTGCTTCTCCTTCTACTCTTCGCCGTCTTGATGCTTTGCACCATACTGGGTTGCGCCTCAGTTCTGGTGCCTTTCGTTCGGCTCCCGTCCTTAGCTTGTATGTTGACACTGGCTTCCTGTCTCTCCAGGACTGCCGTGATCGCTACTGTCTTCGCTATCTTGCGCGGTCCTTGCAACATCCTTCCTCTCGCCTCTGTCGTGCTTTAACTTTTACCCCTCCTGCGGTTCCTGTTCCTCTTCACCACCTCCCTTTTTCTGTCCGGTTATCTCGCCTACAGGATTCTCTTTCCGTTCGTATTTCTGATGTTTCTCCTCGTGTTGTTCCTTCTTTGCCCCCGTGGAGGGTCCCTCTTCCGCGGTTTTGTACATCCTTGACTCGTATCACTAAAGCTTTTACCCCTCCTACGGTTCTAAAACGCCTTTTCCTCGAGCAATTTTCTTCTCACTCCCGCTCCGTTTCTGTCTTCACCGATGGGTCTAAGTCAGCGGACGGTGTTGGCTACTCTGTTGTATTTCCTGATCGCACTTATATGTGTCGCTTGCCTCCGGAGACTAGCATCTTTACAGCGGAACTTTATGCTGTTCTCTATGCTCTTCGTCTCCTGCTTTCTCGTTGTCAGTCTTCCTTTGTGGTTGTTGTTGACTCTCGTAGTGCCCTCATGGCTCTCGGGTGCTTTAATCCAGTTCATCCAGTAGTTGTCGAGATCCAGCATTGGCTGTTTCTCGTTCACAGTAAATTTAAGTCGGTTGGGTTCCCAGCCATATTGGTGTCTTTAAATGAGCGTGCGGATGCTGCTGCCAAGGAAGCTGTCCACTCTTGTCCCATCTCTCGCAAAGGCATTCCGTATTCCGACTTTTACCCGGTTATCCATTCCTCAGTCCTTACCCGTTGGCAGGCTTCTTGGTTGTCTGTTACTGGTAACAAGCTACGTACTCTTAAATGTTGTGTTTCCTCGTGGCCGTCCTCCTTCCACCGTAACCGGCGGTGGGAAACAGCTCTGGCGAGGTTGCGTATTGGCCATACTCGCTTAACCCATGGTCACTTGATGGAGCGCCGCCCTGCTCCTTATTGTCCTAGTTGCATCGTCCCTCTTACGGTCGTGCATGTCCTTCTTGAATGTCCTGACTTCCAGGACGAGCGTGTGTCTTGCTTTCCGACCGCCCCTCGCGGTCACCTGTCCCTCGATAGAATTCTTGGTGACTCGGATACTTTTAATATCGTTCGCCTTATGCGTTTTTGTTCTCGTATTGGCATCCTTGGTGATATTTAGCGCCCTCTGATTATTTTGCGTACTTGATGGTGCTACATAGCCTTCCCGGTTTGGTGCCTTCTTTTGATAATTACTTACTTTTATTGTCAATCCCCCTTTCGTCACTGAACCCGATCTCGACGGACTGTCGGTTTCTTAAGGTGGCGTTTGTGGGGTGTATGCTCACGATGCACCCCTAGGAGGCCCCGGCAAGATCGGCGATAGCTTCTTGATGGGTGTCCTGCCTCTAATTGTGGCTCCATGGTGGGTGTGGGGGCACATTCGTGAATGAATTCTTTTTGTAATGATGATGACCCCTGTTTCGGCTGCTTCTGGTTTACCTTTTCAGGCTCGTGGGGTGGGCGACCAAGCCCCTGAGTCGGTCCGTGTTGGAAGACCGGGCTCTGTAGCCTCTGCTGCATTGGGCCCCAACCTTGCTCCTCCTTTGGCCTGACTCCTTCCCCTGGCTCCCCTCCCCCTGTGGTTGGGTCGAGCCCCAAGCCCCAAGTGGTGACTACCTCGTCCCATGGCGCGGCTCCTTCTCTAGTTGTAACTACTGCGCCTTTTAACCCCTCTCTCTCTGGGGGTTCTCACCGCCGTCCTCGTCACGGCCGCCCTCGCTCGATTCCTTCCAGTTCTGCTACCTATCAAGCCTTGTTTGGTCCCGCTTCGTGGGCCAAATATTTTGATCTCCTCCCTCTTGATTCTGCGCCTCCTGACGATTTCTCCCTCCATCGACATCTCATTGATTCCGTGGATGCCTCCATTACTTTCAACCCCACTCGTCTCGGTACACGTGTCGTTGCTGCTCCTTCTCAGGATGCTGCTTCCCGCTTGGCTCCCTTATCCTGCCTTGGCGAGACCCCCGTTCGGGTCTCGAAGAACGCTCAGTTGAATGCCAGTGTTGGCACTATTTTGCTCCCGCCCCAT